TTTTCTATACACGGGGCTCTGTCCTCTGTGAATAGACACGGTTTTACTTCCTTTCCAATTTTGATTCCTTTTATTTCTTTTCTTCATTAATTTCTCTGGCTAGAACTCCAGTAAAATGCTGGGCAGGATCAAAGTGGAACGTCCTTGTCTTGTGTCTGATCTCAGGGGGGAGTTTTTAGTCTTTGCACGTGGAACATGAAGCTGGCTATGGGCTTTTCCTAGTGTCCTTTATCGTGTTGAGGAAATTCCTTCTAGTCCTGGTTTTCTGAGTGGTTTTTATCATGAAAGGATGACGGAATTGCTGGCCCAGGAACTCTCTGGAACGTGGAACGGCCACAAGGATGGCTCTGCGGCTTCCTCACGGGGGCCTGGCCTTAGCCCAGATGCCAGGAGATGGCTTAGGCTTTGCCCGCCATCGCCCAGGCAGTGCCCCATCCAGACGTGTGACAGCCACAGAGTGCTGTGCTGTGTGGGGAGCAGCCCTCCGGGGGGGCAGAGGCTGCGTGGAGGCCGGGCCGCCCATCCACCCTCCTCGTCTGACGTCTCAGGCCAGGGTCAAGAGCAGGACACCCCATGCCCCCACCCCCCTTAGGGGTGGCCTAGAGACCAGACCCCGAGCACCCACCCTCCCCCTGTGCTGGTGGGGTGGGGGGCTTCTCGGGAGGCCAGCTTGGCCAGGCCACCGGAGATTTCCAGGGGCGTAGCTCACGCACGGGGCAGCAGGTGGAAGAAATCCAGGAGCTCCTAAGTTCCCAGCCCCTTGGACATGTCGGGCCCCCCAGCTCCCCTTGTCTGCTCACTCCCCCTCGTGGGCATCCCCTGGGGTCCAGGAGCAGTGGGCGTGTGATGCGCTGGTGTGAGTTGCGCTCGTGTGACCCCAAAACTCCCGTCCCCGTCCCCTTCTCACACGGCGGCCATGCTCTCCTCGGGCAGAGCCCGGACCGCCCTCCTGCAGCCCCCAGCGTCCTCCCCAGTGCAGACAGTTCTGCAGGCGACAGCTGAGGAGGGACACGGCCCGATCCGGTCAGGACACGGCTGTCAAGGTCCCTGCCCCCTCCTGCTCTGGAAGGTTCTCTCTGGGGTTGGCTGTGAAGCTGGAGTCGCGAGGAGCCCACAGTCGAGTGTTTGGGCCTCCCATCAGGCCGGTGGCTTAGCCAGCAACTCGCAGCGAGTGCCCGCTGCCTGCGCACACGGCGCAGACCCCGCCCGCTGCAGTGGGACCCGGGCCGCCTGTGCTGGGGAGCAGAGCGGCTGCCCTGAGGGCCGTGCAGGCATCAGCACAGGGGCTGCCGGTGCAAAGGTCCTGCGGCCCAGACACGGTGAGGCTGGTTGCGGGGTGGGCTCAGTGGGGCGGGGGCCTCAGGACCGTTTGCCAATGGGCCCATGGCGCCGAGGGGACCCTGAGCCTCTTGAGGGGGCAGGTCTGAGTCAGCTGAGGCACCACCACAACCCAGACCTCAGGCTGCCTACGATGGCCCCAGGGTGAGTGATGTCCAGGGTGTCTGGAGTGACCAGATCGAGTGTCATCAGGACCCGTCCACTCCCCAGGACGAGGGCGTCTCCCTGAGCAGGGCGGGGCCCCTGGGGGTGGTGGCTGACCTGCCTTAGAGCAGCCCTACCCAGAGCGCCTGCCGCCCGCCCCTGGGGTCCTGGGAACTTCCCAGCCCAAATCCATGGGTCGCTGCTGCCTGGAGGCCCAGCACGTGTGGGGACAGCCTGGGCTCCGGCCCCACCAGGGCAGGTGGGGGCTGTGGGTCATGCAAGACAAAGGCGGCCACCGGGTCCGTGTCCTGCGTGGGGGGCGTCCGGATGTTGGGCTGCGGCTCCCAGGACCCCTGAGCCCCGCTGACCCCCGCGTGCCCTCAGACCCCCTCAGATGACCCTCTGCCAGTCAGGGAGTCGCGGGTGGTGGTGTCCCTCGGGACACCTGGGTCCCCTCAGGGAGCAGGGGCAGCATTTCCCTCACCCACGAGGGGAGGCGCCCTGACCTTGGCCCGTCTGAGGCTGGAGGCCCCGTCCGCGGAGCAAAGCTGTGTGCGGGCGCCAGCGCAGGGGAGGTGCAGAGGGTGCCGGTGGGCAGAAGGAGTTCGCGCTCCCCCTCTGAAGCTGCCGCCTGCGTCCAAGGGCTTGGTGGGCTTGGCGGGGGCAGCCGGTGTCTGGCGTCCCCACCCCCGACGTGTCCTGCACCCCCCACCCCAGTCTGATTCGTTCCTGGGCTTTCTGCCCCGCACTGACCCCCGGGGTGTGGACGGCTGTGAAGTCCGGAGGCTGCGAGAGGCAGACCTGGGGTCTCACCCACTCAGGGCTGTTCCCACCTGCAAGTTCAAGTCCAAATCCAGCAACTCACGGGCGCCTGCCAGGGAAACCAAGTCCCGCAGCGGGAGGGACCGAGACAGCAGATCTCCCTGCAGCATCTGGGCCGTGCAGTGGCCCCAAGGCTCTGTCCCTTAGATGCAGGCCCCAGCTCTGCCTGGTCTCTGTGTGCCCTCGGCCCCACTGTGGCGGGGAGCGGGGGCTGCCCCTGCCGAGCCCCCCCAGCCTCTTCTCTGCCCAAGCCCAGTGGCCCATGTAGGAGAGTCGGTTTCTGCTGTGCAGTGACGCCCACTTGGGCCTGGACACCTGCGCCAGCGTCCCCAGGTTCCAGTCGCGGGACACTCACTGGGTAGAGGCCCCAGCGGCCAGGAGCGAGGACAGCCCCACCCTCGGCCCCATCACCATGCAGCCCCTCAAGCGCTGGCCGTGGTCCTCCCAGGACAGGGACGCTGCCTTCTGGGCACCCCCACCGCCTGGAGCACCCGGCGCCCTGCCCCCCAGTGCTGGCACGAGGGGTCACACCCTGGTCCCCAGGAGCCCAGACTGACCCAGCACCTGGGGGGCACCCACCCCACGCCCTGCCCGAGTCTCCTGTCCTGGTCACCGGCAGATCCTTGCCCCTCACGTGGCACCCAGCCCTGTCCACGGCCAATGCTTTGGTTCACGGGGCCGTCGGGGACATTTCTGAAATGTCACTCGGACTGGCCAGTCCCCAGGTCACCTCTCACAGCCTCTGTCAGAGATTTCGGAAACACAGGACAAAGCTAATGGATGAGTGAGCGTCGCGTGGCCCGTCCACGTGAGGGCGTGTTTCTCAGCCACGGCAGGAGCGGAGCCCTGACACGGCGACTTGGGTGACCTCGAAACGTCACTCATGACAGAAGCCCCGAGAAGGTCACACGTGGGATTCCTTTCCACAAAGTCCAGGGAGGCTGGAGACCGGATGCGGATCTGGGCAGGGTGGGGAGGCACAGCCCTGGGGACAGACGAAGTTCCGTCGTCACTGCCCCCTGGAAGCACTCTGCCGGGACCCTGGAAAGCTGCGCCGCCTTTCGCCTTTCGGGGCGGAGAGCGGGACGGGCCGCCCGAGCCCCAGCCGTGACCTGCAGACCCGGCCCTGCGGGGGCCCCCATCCTCCCCGCCCCCGGCTCCAGCCCTGCCCTGTCTCGCTGGGACCTGCAGTCCCCGGGGGTTCCGGAAGGCTGGAGTCGCGGCTGACTAAGGCCCAGCAAAGCCCTGGGCCGCGCGGGCTCTCGTGCGGGGTGTGGGCAGGGCACGGGGCTGGCGTCTCCCAGGGGCCGGTCCTTGGACTGTTCCGGCACCTCCTGCCGCTGCCTGAGCCGCCCGCCCCGCGCTGTCCCATGTGGCTGGCAGGGGCAGCCCCACGTGCTCCCACCAAGGGCAGCGTCCGAGGACGCCCCCCCAGGCGGGGCTGCCCAGGCCTGGCGGCGGCAGTGGGCTCAGGGGCTCCCTGGGCAGACGTGCTGGCTCCGGGCTGGTCCCTCTGAGGCCGTCTGTCCCTCGACAGACACAGGGCGCCCTGTTTCCCGGGGAGCCCGAACACGGTCTCTCTGTTCGCACCTGGGCTGGCCGGCCCCCCAGGCAGACTGTGGGGGCTGCACACAGACCCGCGCTTGTGCCCGCCCGCCCGGCCCCTTGGCCTGCGCCACCACGTCCCTGCCGGGGCCTCTGCCGTGCGGCCGGCCGCGAGCTCCAGGAGCCTGGATGCACAGGGCGGGGGGGGGCTGCCGTCGGTCCCCCCGCCCCACCAGGCCAGGGGCAAGGCAAGGCCTGCTGCCGAGGGTGGGGGGCTGGGGGGCTGCTCCGGCCTCTCTAGGGACGGGCCTTGCAGTTGGCTGAGGGGAGGCGGCGGCGCAGGCGGGGACGCCAGCCCCATCACCCACGGCTCACCCTCCCCTCCCTCCTGCAGCAGGGCCCGGAGTCCCCCGTCCCCACCCCCACGCTTGGCTGCGCAGGTTGGGGAGGTCGGTTGGGGGACAGGGTCACGGCGAGGGGAGGGGGTTACCTCGCCCAGGGCCGTGGGACAGAGGCTGGAAGGGCGGGGCGGTTGGCGCCCAGGAGAACACAGTGGGTCTGTCCACACCTCACGGGTGCTGGTCACCCGAGGCAGGACCAGTCCCCGGCTGGCCTGGAGGTGTGTGCATGTGTGTGCGTGTGCAGGACTGCATACATGTGTACGGGCCGTGTGCGTGTGCACGGGCTGTGTGCGGGAGGCGTCCCGGTGACGACCTCGTCCTGACACCTGCGGGCACAGCCTCGGGCTATGGCCGGGTGACAGGGTGCTGGTGGGTGTGGTCGGCTGAGGGCGCCTGTGGGGAGAGGGGCTGTCACCCGGACGGACTGGAGGGCAGAGCCCCCGGCCGGGGACAAGGGTTTGCCCTGTGTGGACACGCGGGCAGGGGTGCCGTGGGGGCAGGGGTGCCGTGGGGGCAGGGCCGCCGTGGGGGCAGGGCCAGGGGCTTCCTGACGCCTCCCTACACAGACAGGACTGCAGGGTCTCAGGACACAGGCGGGCAGGGCCTGCAAGCCCCTCCGCGGGCCGACAGCACAGACAGCCACCCGCTGCTCGGGGTCTCTGACCCCGTGCCCCCTCCTCTCCACACTCTGCGGTGGCGCCAAGCTGGGGGCACGTGGGTGGCGCGCAGGGTGAGACTCCACTGAGAGCAGCCGGGTCTTCTGCCTTTATTTCACGCTGCGCGTCTGGGTGGCCTTGGGGACGGCCACTCCCGTGCCCTGAAGTAGTCCTCCAGGTCCCGCAGGCCCAGCGCGGGGAAGTAGGGGCCAATCCTCTTCCGGACCCACCACTTGCCCTCGGCGGCGTGTCTGCCCCCGGGACGGCTGAACTTGTACCTGTAGTGCTCTCCTCGGACCCACCTGCGGGGGGACAGCGCGTCAGCCTGGCGCCCACCTGGCCCCCGCCCCGAGTCTCGCCCGCCTGCTGGGCTGCGGCGCTCAGGGGGCTCCCCATGGGGACACTGGGCTGGGAGGCCCCTCAGGCCCCCTGAGCCTTTGCAGCCACCCATGGTGGAGGGGCCGCCCCGGAGCCCCCACCCGAGCACACCGGGCCCTGGCAGGTCCACCACAGGCCGAGAGCCCTGCGCGGCGGCTCCCCGCGGAGCTGGCGGGCGGACGTGGGTGCTCGGGGAGAGACCCCTCAGGGACCACCACGAAGCGTCTGCCCCAGGAAGGGCCCAGAGGGCAGTACCTGGGCAGGGCCCGAGATTGGTCACAAGGCCTCAGGTGACCCCCAGCCCGGGAAGGAGACGGCAGGACCTGGTCAGGTGGGTGTGGGTCCTGGCGCTGTCCTGGGGCTCCCCAGGCTCTAGCAGGGCGCCAGGCAGCTGACCTATCTCTGCCGCCAGACGCGGCATGCTCTGGACCGGCATCCCTGGATGGGGGCTCAGAGAGTGACACGTGGGTGGGGGACCCTCCCCGAGCCCCACGTGCTCCCCAGTGACCCTGGTGGCCCTGGGACTTAGGCCAAGCTGGGTCTCTGTCCCGAGCCCAGCTGGGCCCACTGAGGGTCTGGGGTTTTCTGCTGGTGCCTGCGACTTGCAGGGGACACGGCCCTGTCTGCACTGTTCAGGGTCGCCCAGCGGCCGCCCTCCGGCCTCCCTAGTTTTGCAGCAGGAGCTGGAAGCTTCTCGGCCCCTCAGGGCAGCGCCTGCCCGCACCGCCCGCAGCAGGCCCATTGGAGCAGTGGGTGAGGGCTGTGCTTGTTGTTAGATGCCGCCAAGTTCTTTTGCAGGGCGGCCGCACCGTTCTACCTTCCCGCCAGCAACGCGCGCGATCGGGGTGGCAGCGTCTCCGCTTTATCTCAGCCGCTCTGACGGCGTGCAGCGGCCTCGCGTCGCCCTGTGACCTGCGCGCCCGCGCCGGCTCGCACAGCCCCTCAAGCGCGTTCGCCGCGTGTTCATCCTTGTCCGGAAACGGCTCTTCGTGTCTGGTGCCCGTTTTCCAGTTAGATTATTTTACTGTTGAGTTTGAAGGTTCTTTGTGTATTCCCAGTTTTAGTCCATTTCAGATGTATTAATGGTGCTTTGCAAATGTCTTCTCCCAGCGACAGCTTTTAGAAAATCCTGTTGGCAGAGTCTCAGCGCAGAAGTTGCAATTTTAATGAAGCGCAATTCCCCAGGTTTCCTTTCCTGGATCATCCATTTGGTGCCAAGTCCAAGAACCCTTTGCTACCCCACATCCCAAGGATTTTCTCCTGTTTTGTTCCTGAAGGTTCGCTGTTGTGTCTTTGACGTCTAAGTCCGTGACCCATCCTGAGTGGAGCTGGGGCGGAAGCGTTTTTGCCGGTGGACGTCCTGGTGCGGCCGCGTCGTTTGCTAACAGGCTTCCCCGCTGATGCGCTCTCGCGCTGCGGGCTCGGCTGGGGCCGTGTGTGACACTCGGGGCTCTTTGTTCTGCGCTGCTGATCCTCGCTGTGCTGATCACTGCCGGTCTGTGTCTTGGAACCGTAGGCAGCTCCTTCCACTGTGTTACCCTTCAAAATGGTTTTAGCTATTCTAGTTCCTTTACTTTTCTATATAAAATTTGGAATAACTTGTCTTTACCTACAAAAAAATCTTGCAGGGATTTCGATAGGAATTACGTTAAACTTGTACATAAATTTGGAGGGTCTTAGCCAGGCGTGGTGGTGGCGCCTGTCGTCCCAGCTACTTGGGAGGCTGAGGCAGGAGGATCGCTTGAGCCCAGGAATTTGAGGCTGCTGTGAGCCTGGGGACAGAGCAAGACGTTGTCTCTAAATAATATTAATAATTTGGAGGGCACTATCATCTTTACTATGTTGAGTCTTTCACCCTAGGAACACAGCAGGTCTCTCCATTAATTAGATTTTCTATTGCAGCAGCATTGTACAGTTTTGGCACACAGGTCCTGTACGTGTTCTGTTAGATTCACACCAAGTGTTTTACTTTTGTGAGTGGTTGTAAGAGGCATCGTATATTTAATTTAGGTGTCTGCGAGTTCATTGCAGGTATTTAGAAATCCGACTGGGACGCCGGGTCTGGCCTAGCAGCTGCCCCCGACACAGGCTAATAATATTTGCATGAACTCTGTGCAAACATCACTAATATGCCTAATACAGTAAGACAATTAGTGGAATATGTTCACTTGTCACGGGGCATTAACACTTACCGGTCATTCCCTCGTGGACGCCTGCCGGGCTCTGCCGCACTGAGCACTCTGCTTTTGTGCAGTGGCGGACGAGAGCCTGAGATGCGCGGCTGAGCGCCGTCCGCACACCTGCTGCCCGGCGGGGCTCTCCGGGCCCCTCACCTCCCGGATGGAAAGGGTAGGATGGTCGTGTAACCAAGCGTGCGCTACAAACGGCGCAGCAATTTAAAATTATGATTCTAGCAGGAGGAGAGAAATAAACTTTTAAAAATGCTTGGTCAGGTGGATCTGAACGACAGAACAGAACTACAGCTGGGTTTTGTGCGTTGATCTCGTATCCTCTGTGCTGAATGCACTGACTAACTCTCGGACTTTTTTGAGTGGATTCCTTGGGATTTTCTGCAGAGACAATCGTGTCATCTGCAAATGGCACCGTTTTATTCCTTTCTTTATGATCTGTGACCCTTTCATTTCCTTTTCCTGCCTTATCGCAGCGGCCAGTGCCTCCGGCACGTGACGAGCGAGTGGTTAGACCAGACGTCCTCTTCTTCCTGGCCTTCGGGGGGCGCCACGCTCTGCCAGCCTGACCGTGGCTTCGGGGCTTTTGCAGATGTTTTCTTTGTCAAGCTGAGGAAGTTCCTCTCTTGTCCTAGTTTTCCAAGAGTTTTTATCATGAATAGGTGTTAAATCTGTCAAATGCTTCTTCCACAATTGATATGATCATGTGAGTTTTCTTTTTTAGTTGGTTAATACGGTGGATCACATTGACTGATTTTCAAATATTAAGCCAGCCTTCATCCCTGGAATACACCGTACTTGGTCGTGGTTTATAATTCTTTTTTATACATTGCTAAATTCTATTTACTAACATTAAAAAAGTTTGTGTCTGCATTCATAAGGGATATGGGTTTGTAATTTTATTTTCTTGTAGTATATTTGCATGGCTTTGGTATCAGACAAACACCAGCTTCATAATATAAACTGAGATTTTTCCCTTCTATATTCTGGAAAAGACTATAAAATAGATATTGATTCTTCTTTAAGCACAGAAAGAATTCCCCAGTGAAACCCTCTGGGCCTGGAGATTTCTTTTTGAAAGTTTTAAATTTCAAAGTCAATTTCTTAACTACTTAAAGGACTATTCAAATGATCTATTTCATGCCAGGTGAGTTTTGGCAGTTTGTATTATTTTGAGAAATTGGCCTATTTCCTCTAAGTTGTAAAATTTATATGTATGTTTGTTCGTAGTATTCCCTTAGTATCCTTTTTACGACTGCAGGGTTTGTAGTGATGTCTCCTTTTTCATTCCTGATATCGGTAGTTATATCTTTGCCATTCTTATTATGCTAGAGGTTTGTCAATTTTATTGGTCTTTTCAAAGAACCACCTCTTGTTTTGTTGATTTCCCTCTATTTTTCTGTTTCCAATTTCATTTTCTTCTCTTTATTATTTTTCCTACTCCGTGCTTTGGGGTTTTCTCTTCTTTTTCTAGTTCTCTATGTAATCTTGAGCTTAGATGATGATGATTATTTTTTTTTTTTAAGAGACAGGGTCTCACTCTGTTGCCCAGGCTGGGCTTGAACTCCTGGGCTCAAGCGATCCTCGCACCCTGGCCTCCCCAGTAGCTGGGACTGCAGCCGTCTGCCACCACCCTGGGCTGAGCTTAGATCGTTGATTTGAGATCTTCTCTCTTCTCTAACGTGTGCATTTAGTGCTTTTCGTTCCATCACGGCTTTAACTGTATCCCACAGACTTTGACGGGTTTTACTCTTCATTTCGTCCAGGTCAGCGGATGGCACGTTCTGTAAATGTCAGTTAGGTTCTGTTGGTTGATGGTAGAATATCGTTGTGTTCTGTGTTCTCGCTGATTTTCCGTCCTGTTATTTTATCAGTTGTTGGGAAGGGTGTTGAGTCCAATGATAGTTGTGGATACGTCTATTTCTCTTTTCAGCTCTGACTTTTCGTCATATATTTTGCGGCTCTGTGATCAATGAACACCCTTGGGACTGCTGTGTCTACTTTCATCATTATATGACGTCTCTGTCTCTGGTAATTTTCTTTGCAGTGACATCTACCTTATCTGATATTAATACAGTCACTCCTTTCTTTTCATTAATATTTACATGATATATCTTTCTCTATCCTTTGCTTTTAATCTGACCGTAAAGCTGGTCTCCAACCTAGTTTTTGACTTTATGGTGTTGTGAAAGCGATGTGCATTCAGCAGAAACCGTCCCTTGAGTTCCCAACCATTGTTTTTCACTTTCAGTGCAGTATTCAATAAATTACATGATATTCAACATATTGAAGAGGCTTTGTGTTAGATGATTTTGCCCACTGTGGGCTAATGGAAGTGTTCTGAGCATGTTTAAGATCAGCTAGGCTAAGCTACGATGTTCAGTAGACTAGGTGTATTAAATGCATTTTTGACGTATGTTATTTTCAACTTATGATGAATTTATTGGGACATAACCCATCATGAGTTGAGCAGATGCTCAACTGTATTACCATATTTTAAGTGAGTTCCTTTTAGACAGCATATAGTTAGGTCATGGCTTTTAAGCAATTCTGCCAATCTCTTAATTGGTGTATTTAGACCACTTACATTTAATATAATTTTATGGTTTAAGTCTATCATTCCATTTTTTTGTTTTTCATGTGTTCTGTTTTTTCATTGGTGTTTTTCCCCTGCCTCATTATGGGTTATGAAAAAGTTTTTTAGAATCTCATTTTGATTTATCAATAGTTTTTAAGTGTATCTCTTTGTATAGGTTTTTTTTAAATTCTTGCTTTTCATACTACATTCCATACACATAACTTACCATAATCTGCTGGTGTTGCCTTTTCACCAGGGCAAGTGAAGTACAGAAAACTTCTCCTTTTATGTCCATTTGCCCTCACCCATTTATAATTATCTTAAATACTTCTACATAAATTTTGAACCACTTCAGACAGTTTTATAACCTTTGCTTAACATGCAAACATGATTGAGAACTCAAGAGAAGGAGTCCCAGAAGGAAAAGAGATCTTGGGGCTAAAAAAGTACTAGAAGAAACAGTAATGAGAAGGAAGCTCTATTGTTTTTACCCATATTTTAATTCCTTTCTTTTAATTATCCTGGTGACAAATTCTCCTACTTTCCTTCATCTGAGACTGATTGATTTCCCTTTCATTCCTGAAGGACGTTTTTGCCGGCGTGGACTCTGGGCTGACGTCTGGGAAATGTCGTGCCACTCACCCTTGGCCTCTACGGCTTCGGAGGAGAAGTCTGCTGTTGTTCCAGTGGTTTCCCTTATGGGTAAAGATTGTTTCTCGCCGTTTTCACAACTTTTTTCATTGTCTATTTTTAGAAATTTGACTTTGATGTGTTTAGGTCTGAATTTCTTTGGGTTTTTCCTGTTTGGGGTTCACTCAGTTTACTGACTCTTTAGGTTTGTGTCTTTTACCAAATTTTGTGTCTTTTACCAAGTTTTCAGTTATTATTTTTTCTAGTACTCTTTTAGCCCAGGGTCTTTATCTTTTCCTTCTGGGACTTCGATGACACAAATTCTAGACCTTTTATTATCGTTCCACAGGTCCCTGTTCATTTTTTTTCAGTTTATTTTCTCATTACTGTTCACACTGGGTCGTTTCTATGTTTCTAGCTTCAAGTTCATTGATTCTGTCCCCTCCATTCTGATACTGAGCCATCCATTGAGTGTTTTGTTTCAGTTATTGTATCTCTCAGTTCTAAACTTTTCATTTGGTTCTTTTTAAAATCGTCTATGTCTTTGCCAAGACTGTATTTTTAAAATTTGTGTTGTGTCCATAATTGCTATCGAAGTACTTTTACAACGGCTGTTCTAAAATCTTTGTGAGATGACGCTAATGTCGCTGTCGTCTTGGTGTGACAAGTGATTTTTCAACGGAAAACTGAATATTTTGGATAGAGAGTCTGGATCTTATTTAAACCTGCTGGCTGCTTCTCATACGCTGGCAGAGGAAAGAAGGGGTTCCACCCTGCTGCCGGGTGGGGGTGGAAGTCCGGTGGACACACAGGTGGGGGTTCCCTGCTACTGCTGGGTAGGGTGGGGGTCCTGGCTCTGCGCTAGGCCTCACCACTGCTGGGCGGTGGTGAAAGTCCCGACTTTCCACCAGGTATCATCTAGAACCACTCCTGGGGAGCAGGTACTGCCAGGTGGGTAGACATCTGGCCCCACATGGTCTCTGTGGACACCACAAAGCGGGGGGCTCGTCATTGCCCACTAGGATGAAAATCTCAGCTTTCTATTCGGCCTCCTCTGACGGCACCTGGTGAGGGGTGGGTACCTCCTCACAGCCTGTTTGGAGCAGGAGTCTGGGCCGCCCACTTGGTCTTACTGGCACGGTGGGGCCACCGTTTCCCGTGGTGTTTGGCTAGAGCAGCGTGATTACTCTCCGTAAGCTTCCAGTCCTTGGGCCAGAGAGTGCAGGTTTTTGTTGGGGAGTTTTTGTCTACATGTGCTGGCGTTACCAAGTTGCCAACTTCCTGTCTCCGAGTCTAGGAAACGAAGCAGAAAAAGAACTGAGAAACTCACTTCCATCGGCGTTGCTGCTTGGGTTTGGAGTCGCCTACTGGTGAGCCTTCCTCTCTCCACATTTGGAGTCTTCCTCCATTTGTTTTATATGTAACATCCGGGGTCTTTAGTTGCACTTAGCAGGAGGAACAGGGGTAAGTGTCTGTTTCACCTTCCCAGACACGGATGTCTTAATTCATCCACTGTAAAAAGTGAACCACAGATGAACTAAATGCAGGCCACGGCCAGGCCACACCACACCACGAAGACATGGCAGAGGACCCTGTGCTCTGTGGCAAATTTAAATATTTCAGATTTTAAACGTTCCCCTTAATATAATTAATTACCAGTTCACATAAAAGATTAACTGATTTTCATGTCTCAATTTTTGTAACATCCGTCCTTTTTAGACAAGACTGTGGTGTCTATACCATGCACCTACTCAGACGCGGCTGTTTCTCTCAATACTGGCTGAGAAACAGGAGAGCTGATGCGTGCGCTTCACCGCAAAGAGGCTTTGCTCTGGGCCTGGAGACAGCAAACCCTCCTCCCAGCGAGCTCCGCAAGCTCCACGTGCTGAGGTGGCTGCGGGCTGGGCACCCGTGCGGGGCCTTGGAGTCGCCCGCACCAGCCCCTGGTGGGGGACAAAGGCGCTTCAGCACCAAGACGTGGCTGGTCTACCTACCAGCCCTCACCTGGGGCAGCCCAGGCAGAGGACAGTGACAGAGAAAACCCATGTCGAGCCTGGAGGCGTGAGCTGGCTGGTCACTGGCACACCTGGGGACGAATGTCTGCCTCAGGTGACTGTTCTGTCCAGGCTCTACGCTCGGCCATCCTCTGTCCACCCCCAGGTTTGCTGGTGGCCATATGGCAGGCAGGTCACCTGGGACTTCATGCTAATTCACAGAAGGGTGGCTCTGCCTGAAGGGGTGACAGGAGGGAGGGGTGGCAGTCCCTGGACAGCCTGGTCCACATGGAGGGACCCCCCCCCCCTTTCCCCCCATCTCCACACTCCCCAGCCCTGCAGGGCCATGGAGCTGGGGAAGGGGTTCTGGACGCATCAATGGCAGATGGGCGCAGCTGCTCCTCTGCAGACCCTCGGCCCCCTCCCCATCCTGCCCCCCAGCTCCGGGGCTGGGGCCTCCAGACAGCTGTGAGCGACTCCAGGGCGCAGCTGTCCTGGCTCCCGGCGAGGGAGACCCAGGAGCTGCGTGTTCTGTCCACGGCTGGCAGGAGAGGGGGGCGAGCGGTTCCCTCTGTTCCCAAACCTCCAGGTGGCTGCTGGGTTCTAAGCCATGTCAGGGGCAGGAGTGCCCACCCCAGCCTGGGTCTCTGAAGGAGGCCGCCTAGGGGTCTCCAGTCACCCACGCCCATCCCCAACGTCCCCTCCCCAGGCCCCACCCCTGGCTCCTGCTCCTCTCCTTGCGTCCCTCTCCCAGGGCCCCCAGCATCTCTCCAGAACCCCTCCCCATACAGTCTCCAGGGACCCTTGTTCTGCCCCCAAGCCCCCAGGCCCCAGCAGGGAGTCCGGAAAGCTGGGAGTGTCAGCCCCGCCTTCGCACACCCAACTCTCACCCTGGACCCCCGCGTCACTGCCCAGGGTGGGCCAGGATGCAGGGCCCACAGGGCCGCACCCGCTCCGGCTGTGACCTCCCAAAGGGGTCTGCCCAGCCCAGTTCTCTGCAGCCGCCTCTGGCCCCTGCCTACTGCCCCTCTAGGCCAGGTGCAGAGTGAGTGCCTGGAGGACACCTCGACAAAGGTGTATGTGGCTGGGACTGTCACCTCTGCCTGGCTGTCCTAGGCCCTTCCCAGCCGCGGCAGGTTCAGATGGAGGGCACACGAGGCAGGGGTTGGGCCAGCCTCGGCTCTGGGGCTCCTGAAGGCCCCAGCCCACCGGTCCCCCCAAGAAGGGGGAAGGGCTATGTCCTTTCAGTGGGTGGGGCTGTGCAGGTGGCTGGGGCAGAGGCCCCAGCAGACACCTGGCTGTGGGGGAGCAGACCCCACGCAGCGGCCATCCTACCTGGGGGGGTCCCTGCCGGAGAAGGGGCTGAGCGCCAGCAGGGACAGGGCCTCGGGGTCGTTGGCGAGGAGCTTGCCGGCCAGGTGGATGATCCACTCGTTGTGCTCGTAGGTCTGCGGAGGAGAGGACAGGCGTGGAGACAGCGGGTCCCCCCCAGACCCCTGGACTGTGTCCTCCTGGGCCTCCGGCAGCCCTGACTTCAGTCAGGGGGGTGTGTCCCGGCTTTCCTGGAGGGGCTCCCATGGGGTCCATGTCTCTGGGGGCCACCTGCCCCACGTTCTCCTTGTGGGCCCCGCGTCTGTGGGTCACTGTGCTGCCCGGGCGCTGGGGACCCCGAGGCAGGCCCATCTGTTTCCTCAGGGCTAAGACGGGGTGAGGTCCCCAAGCGTGCTGGCGGCAGGACGAAACGGCGAGCTCTGCCCCTGCCCGTCCACTGCAACCCTGGGGACTCCGTAGCTGGCACCCTGGGGGACTGTGGGAGCCGGGCTCTCGGATAGCAGCGCCCCCGGCTTGGCTGCGCCTCTCATGGGCTCCGTCAATGTCTCGGGTGGGATCGATCCCCCTCGGTGTTCTGGGGGCCGGCGCCTTCCCCACCGCGGTGCTGGAGTGACCAGAGCCCGCGGTCTGCCCAGGGCACGCCCAGGAGGGAGGCGGGGGGCGCCCACTGAGGGACACCTTACCTGGAAGGCTGCGAACCACATGAGCCAGTCCAGGCGGTAGTGGTAGGGGGAGATGAGGCAGGGCCGTCTCCGGGGGTCCCCGGGCTTGCACTGGAACTCGAAGTCCTCCCACACCGCGTCGGGGGCGCTAGCGTTGGGGCTGGCTGTGCCCTGCAGGATCACCTCTGTCCGCTCCTTGGTGACGCTGTGGGGAGACCGAGCCAGGCCTGGGGGTCTGCAGCACGCCCACTCGCACGCGGGTGCACCTCTGCTTCTCCCGGGGGGGTGGGGGCGGGCTCCCTGGATGCCCACCCTGTGCCCCAGCCCACGCGGCCTCCAGGGACAGCCTGGCCCCCCCACCCGTGTCGGGGTGGGGTTACTGAGTGGGCACACGAGGTGCCTGGCTCTGGGCCACCTGGACCCCCCCAGGGGCTGTTTCAAGGGCACCTCCCTGCTGCCTGGAGACCCAGCCCTGGCCGGCACACACCCCGCCCCTCCCCAGCAGCCTGGGAGGGGACAGGGGAGGCAGAGGCAGGAGCTGGGAAACCAACGCCAGTGACCACCCTGCTCTGGGAGTGACCGAAGGGCTGGCCCCCGAGATGCCGCCTGTGTGCAGGGAGGACCACCAGGAATGGTCAGGAGCTCCCTGCTCTTCTGGGTGGGTGGCGGGGCTGGGGGCACAGCCACACCTGCCTGGTGACCTGGGCCCTGCTGCCAACCCCTCCAGCACCACCTCGCCAGGCCAGGACCCAGGACGGGCTCTCGTGCTCCTGGCCGGCTATGAGCTGCAGGCTCCCTCCTGACCCTGTGCAGGAGCCCACGCCGTCCACCCCAGGACCCCCGTGGGTGCGGCCCTGCCCAGTGACGGGGACTGCATGGCCGCGGCCGCCTAACCTGACCCTCTGCCACGAAGGGTCAGACGACATTCCTGCCTCACCCAGCAACCCCTGGACGAGCGCACAGGTGTGGCTGGCAGGGCTGAGTCTCCCCCGGGGGTGAGGAGAGGCCACCCCGAGCCCCGGCCCTGTACCTTCCGAAGGCCCCGTAGGTGTTGACGATCCTGAGAGGGCCGAAGGAGGCGTTCATGACCTGCTTGGCGTTCAGCAAGTTGAGGACCACGGGGACGCTGAGCCAGGCCACCAGGACGCCCAGCGAGAGGTTGGCTGCCCGCCGCACCACACAGCCTGGGCCGAGAGGGGGTCATGAGTGTCCACCCGCTGGCTCCCGCCTTGGGGAGGAGCTGCAGGGCCCCCTTGGCCTGTGCCCGGGAGACTGGGCTGCCGTCCGCCCTCCAGGCCCAGGGACGCCAGGGAGGTGCCTGCTGGCCGTGCAGGGAAAGGCCCCCCACAGCACCCGTCCCCACGCCCAGGGCGCTGCTCAAGGCAGCTGCGAGGCTGAGTCCTGGCAGTTCTCACTAAGGGTCAGCAGGTCTCCCGCCCCATTCCCCGGAAGGATGCCCGTCCCCCCAGCCACTGCGGGCCACCTGCCACCGCCCTGCCCTGGGGGAGCCTGGGCCACCACCTACCCAGTCTGGGTGGGGGCCCGGCCCCGCGGGCGTCCTCCTGCTGCACCGCCAGGACACGGCCCTTGAGGCTGCGCGGCCCGGAGGGAAACAGCGGCCCCAGGGCTGCGTCGTCGAAGCAGGCGAGGCTGGGCACGATGGTCAGCCAGTTCAGGAAGCTCAGGTTCCCGCTCACGATGAGCACCACCTGGGGCAGGGGCGGAGCTGGGTCACGGTCGGCACAGGGGTGTGGCTCTGCAGAGCCCCACCCACCTGGCGGAGGGACGCCTGCCCTGCGCATGGCACGAGGACAACTGAGGGAAACACAAAAGCCCCGCCCCAGGCCACAGAGCCGGGGCCCCCGGAACCCCCGGAGACCTTGGCTGGGCCGTTGTAGTGGTGGCGGCCGAGGCCCCGGAGTCCCCGGAGTCCGGACGGCGGGGCACGGGGCAGAGCGGTGACCTGGTCCCCGCGCCCCGGCTGGAGGTGCAGAGCTGGCGGAGACAGGAGCCAGCTGGAGACGCAGAAAGTCTTACTAAGTATCAATAAAGCATATTTTAAAAAGTAACCAAACAAAACGGACCCATTTTAAGCGTACAGTCCAGTGGTTTTGACAAATGCTGCGCCTATGTAAGCCGCTGAAATCCAGAACATTCCATCCCCGGCAAGTGCCCTGAAGCCTGCGGGTGGCGACCCCATCTCGGCCCGTGGTGGGAGTGGGCGCCTCCCCCACGGCAGGCCCCCGAGGAACGTCGGGGCGCACGGGTGGACGCGTCCCGTCGCTGTCACCGCTCACCGTCCAGGAGCGTCTCCGAGCACACGCTGGGCCGCAGGGCAGGGGCGGGACTGGAGAAACCACCTTCCCCGCGGTGGCGCCTTCCGCATCCCGCCAGCGCAGTGGGGTCCAGCTGCCGCGGGCGCCAGCCACGCCGGAGACCGCGGGTTTAACTGAGTGGCCCTGCTGACGACTCCGAGGGTCTCCCGAGGCCTGACGGCAGCCGTGTCCGTGCGGTGCGTGCTCGAGCCCTTCCCACATCGGGGACACAGACGC